ATATATTATAAGTAAGTATATTATATTAATTATATATATATATTATTATATATATATATATATATATATATATATATATATATATATATAATGGATTGTAAGCCTGTGGGTCCTAAAAGGTAAGGATGAACTCTTGACGTTTGTTTCTTTGATGGCTTGGTGGAGTTGCTCCATTCCCGGCTTGAATGGGCGGTTGATACCTCTTACCAATCAGACCAAAGAAGGTGTGCGTTTCAACATGGATCTCGAGTTATGCCAGATAGCTTACTCAAATTGCATGTTTCCTTTGACGAACGGCAACTGTTTGTATGCCCCAGAACCAGAAGAAGAGCTTCACGGATACCCTGGTGCTAGTGAAGTGGCCTTGGGCGAGCCTTGATGATACGACAGACACCAAAAGAGGTGCTGCGCATGACGGTAGCGGCTGCACAAGAAGGGCGCTAATCCAGCGTATGATTGAGCGGTCTGCCAATGGAACGAGGCACAGGGTCGGTTAGTGGCACAGACGACAGAGCGCACAACGAAAGGTAAAGAGTTGTCTCGCGAATTGATAAGTGAACATTTAGCGATGGCTCCAGCAGTGTGGAATCAGCACTACGGGGTGGTTGTATATGACAAAAACTTTATGTTCTGCGCCGGCTTTTATGGTTGCAAACCACCGTCATCATGTGCTGGGGTTGGAGCTCGCGACGACTGAGCTTCCGATCAACAAGACTATCTTTATGATCATGAGGTCGGTGTATGCGTTTGTAATCCACTCGAATCACAAGGCGTTCATGTCGCTCTTGAAAGGCGAGCCGGTTCCGCCGGATACTTCGGCCATAAACACAGAAACGTCGTATATGGCAGACGCTGAAGCTCATGGAGGGTATCGATGCGGTAGTGACTTATATCCCGGGTCCGTTCAACGTTCTGAGAGATTTCCCTTCGAGACTTACTACAGTTGATGTGGACCCGGTTTTGCTGCCAACGAACAAACGTGTGGCTTGGGATTGGCTAGTTCCGATGCCGCCGGTTGAGGCAGTTCCGATGCCGGATGATGAGTTTTCATTGGATAAGGACATGTGTGTGGCGTTAGATGTTTCTTTTGTTGGTTTCACTCGCCGTGGAATGAAATTGAGACGTTCCTGACTTGATCATTCGTTGCAGCGGAGGTAGTGGTATTGGTTCCGGTATGGTCGGGCGCTACATGGCTTCCAAGGTACTGTGCTATACTCGGCGAAGCATCGATAGTGGTGTCCCCTGATGAAGACACGTTCATTGGCGAGAATAGGCAGCCTCTTGGGCCGCCGTCATGGGGATGCCGCTTGATTGGTTGCTTATAGAGCGACTGTGTGGACCCACTGCAGTATCTCTCGAAAGGTTTTTGGAACAGATTAGGTTTCCAGAGTCGTCCGTTTCGAGTACGATATCGGTATTTGCCCATGGTAACTTGTAAGTCGGTAGTCATGCGAGCACGAGCCAAACAGCTGGAGCAAGGTGTAACGGAAACCGTAAATAGTGATGCGTTGCGTACCTTGCTCCATCAACATGCGTTGAAACGCGAGGAAGACGAAGAACAGCGTGTCGAAACATTATAAAAGAGCTTTGTACGCGTGATGGCGTTACCAAAACCCGAGGAGGACCCGGCCGAGCAAAAATCTGTCACACTATCGTCCCCGGCTGATAAAGTGAACGGTGCTGCACGTTTAGAATCAGAGATAATTACTTTGGTGCCTTCGAAGGTCGTTGATTTGGTCGGTGAATCGGTTATGACTGAGAGTGCTCATATTATGAATGACATGGCGGACGATCCGGGTTTGAGTAGTCTTCTCGGGGACATATTGGTTAGCACGAGACCAGCCCAGTTGAGCGTGCCGGAGCAATGTACGTTGAGTGAGGCTTTAGCACCCTGAGACACCTTGGCTAACACGTGACTAGATTATGTGCATGAACCGTTAGCAACTTCCATGGGTGCGTTTGTTACATCCAGCGACGCCCCAGTTTGTGCTGAGCATGCTGAGAATAAAGAGGTGGTCAGGGATCCCACTGCTTGGCAGAGCAGGTCCGATTTGCGGGATGGTAATGATGGTGGTGAAGCCGGACACGATGTCAGTTATGCGCGAGATCATGAAACAATGCGGCAAATTCGACGAGGAATTGGCGGTGCGAGAAAAGAGCATGAGCCAAAGAGAGGTAGATGATGATGCTGCAGGCAATAGCGGTAAAGCGGAGTTAATACTCGGCCTTCTCGAGGACACACAGGAATGGACTGAACAACAGCTTGAAGGGTTGCGCCACCAGCAGGAGTAGAAGCAGGACGCCACCGAGGTTGGGGGTACTGTTGAAAAGACCCCAGACTTGGGACCACACAGATAGTTGGTTACAGTGGTCAGTATAGAAGACATGCCAAAATCCGGCTGAACCAAGCCATGGAGAGCCAAAGCTATTATATGGCTATAGGTGAGCTACCACAGAAACAACAAGACAAGACACAACAACAAATCAACCGTGTATAACTAGGAAGTCATTCAAACCTATATATATATATATATATATAATATGTATATAAATATATATATATATATATATATATATATATATATATATATATATATATATATATATATATATATATA